ACTGTCAGTATCACCGACTCACTGTCAGTATCATCTACCCACTGTCAATATCACCCACTGTCAGTATCACCGACCCATTGTCAGTATCATCTACCCACTGTCAGTATCACCCACTGTCAGTATCACCGACTCACTGTCAGTATCATCTACCCACTGTCAGTATCACCCACTCACTGTCAGTATCACCCACTCACTGTCAGTATCATCTACCCACTGTCAGTATCACCGACCCACTGTCAGTATCACTGACTCACTGTCAGTATCACCTATCCCCTGTCAGTATCACCGACCCACTGTCAGTATCATCTACCCACTGTCAGTATCACCGACCCACTGTCAGTATCACCGACTCACTGTCAGTATCATCTACCCACTGTCAGTATCACCGACCCACTGTCAGTATCACCGACTCACTGTCAGTATCATCTACCCACTGTCAATATCACCCACTGTCAGTATCACCGACCCATTGTCAGTATCATCTACCCACTGTCAGTATCACCCACTGTCAGTATCACCGACTCACTGTCAGTATCATCTACCCACTGTCAGTATCACCCACTCACTGTCAGTATCACCCACTCACTGTCAGTATCATCTACCCACTGTCAGTATCACCGACCCACTGTCAGTATCACTGACTCACTGTCAGTATCACCTATCCCCTGTCAGTATCACCGACCCACTGTCAGTATCATCTACCCACTGTCAGTATCACCGACCCACTGTCAGTATCACCGACTCACTGTCAGTATCATCTACCCACTGTCAGTATCACCCACTGTCAGTATCACCGACCCACTGTCAGTATCACCGACCCACTGTCAGTATCACCGACCCACTATCAGTATCTGTGGTCAGTTATCACAAAAAAGTCATTCTTGATGTACTTTGTCGAGCCTTTTTTGGTTTTTATTGGTCAACTACCTGAAGCCGAGCAAGCCGTAGAGTCTGCGGTGGAAGTCCTCCCACACCTGTCCCAGGCTCGCTCTCACAGCTTGCTGGTGAAGTTCCTGCAGAATGGCATCCTCACCCTCACCATCACCCCCACAGTCACCCTCACAATTACTGTTCTCCTGATCACCCAACAGAAAATACGACTCTAACCCACCGCGACACAGCGGGCATTTGTCCAGCAGCTTGAAACATCCTAGACACACACAGGCATGTCGGCACGGGAGCAGCACGCACCGGACACGCCGCGTCTGACACACAACACACTCAGGAAGACAGTCGCATGAACACGGTCGTTCCAAAGATTCAACGCCAGGGGGGGACACATCCCTGCCCACCTCTCCCACACGGCCGAAAGTGATTGGCTGAGAGATATCCACGCCGTCGGATGTGATGGGCTGACAGATATCTACACGGCCGGATGTGATGGGCTGAGAGATATCCACGTCGCCGGATGTGGTTGGCTGAGAGATATCCACACGGCCGGATGTGATGGGCTGACAGATATCCACACGGCCGGATGTGGTAGGATCGGAGTCAGGAGATCTTCCCAAGGCTATTTCCCTGTGCACTCCTTTTCCGATCCGCTTTCGTATTTTGCCACCTCCACGCCTTGGGCCATTCTGCAATGTATCAGGAATCATTTTTCCATCTCTGTTCCTGCTATCATAAGAAGAAGTATTTGTTCTTCCATCTCTGTTCCTACTAATACCGCCGCTGTGCCCCTCATCACCGCCCCTGTGCCCCTCATCACCGCCGCTGTGCCCCTCATCACCACCCCTGTGCCCCTCATCACCGCCGCTGTGCCCCTCATCACTGCCGCTGTGCCCCTCATCACCGCCGCTGTGCCCCTCAATACCGCCGCTGTGCCCCTCAGCTGGCGCATCCGCCGGCCGACTAGACATGTACAGAGGCTGAAACAGAAAACACAACATGAGAAAACTAGAGTAAATCAGATAAATCCTGACAAAGCACAAGACAAATCCTGACAAAGTACAAGACAAATCCCGACAAAGTACAAGACAAATCCTGACAAAGTACAAGACAAATCCCGACAAAGCACAAGACAAATCCCGACAAAGTACAAGACAAATCCTGACAAAGCACAAGACAAATCCTGACAAAGCACAAGACAAACCTGACAAAGCACAAGACAAATCCCGACAAAGTACAAGACAAATCCTGTGGTTTACAAGACAAAAGCTGACCAGCGTAGTCTACTTATAGTACATGGCTACTGTGCTACCTTGTCCTACTGTCTGGTACATGGCTACTGTGCTACCTTGTCCTACTGTACTGTCTGGTACATGGCTACTGTGCTACCTTGTCCTACTGTACTGTCTGGTACATGGCTACTGTGCTACCTTGTCCTACTGTCTGGTACATGGCTACTGTGCTACACTGTCCTACTGTCTGGTACATGGCTACTGTGCTACCTTGTCCTACTGCCTGGTACATGGCTACTGTGCTACACTGTCCTACTGTCTGGTACATGGCTACTGTGCTACCTTGTCCTACTGCCTGGTACATGGCTACTGTGCTACCTTGTCCTACTGCCTGGTACATGGCTACTGTGCTACCTTGTCCTACTGTCTGGTACATGGCTACTGTGCTACCTTGTCCTACTGTCTGGTACATGGCTGCTGTGCTACCTTGTCCTACTGTACTGTCTGGTACATGGCTACTGTGCTACCTTGTCCTACTGTACTGTCTGGTACATGGCTACTGTGCTACCTTGTCCTACTGTCTGGTACATGGCTGCTGTGCTACCTTGTCCTACTGTACTGTCTGGTACATGGCTACTGTGCTACCTTGTCATACTGTCTGGTACATGGCTACTGTGCTACCTTGTCCTACTGTCTGGTACATGGATACTGTGCTACCTTGTCCTACTGTCTGGTACATGGATACTGTGCTACCTTGTCCTACTGTCTGTCATTTCTGACCATGCTGAAGACAGAGAAAGGACGATGGTTTACCCCGTCTAAGTGACCCACTCATAAAGGACGATGGTTTACCCCGTCTCAGTGACCCACTCATGGGTCAATAATTGACATACGCCAGACCTGCCACTCTATGAAACCTCAAAATCAGGATATCAGGGAGAAAAAATCGGGATTTGGTGAAAAAAATCGGGATCAACAGCAAATCACCAAGGTGACTGCCAAAGCTGACTTAATATTTTTCCAGGGGTGTCCATAAATTACTTGGCCTATATGCACTCTGAGTGTCTTTGTTTGTTTGCTTGCGCGCACGTGTGTGTGTGTGTGCGCACGTGTGTGTGTGTGTGTGCGCACGTGCATGCGAGTTATTATTTTTTGTAAATCCTGAAGCATCACTTCAAGCACTCCTAGTCCAAGTGTCTATACCCACCCCACCAATAAGTCCCGGAATACATGAACTTAAGTTGACCCCATCAACGGACGGTCCCCGACACGCAGAACACGGCGATGATATGTCACGTGACACAAATGCGCGATTAAAACAATTTTACTAACGGTTACGACTAACTGCGCGTTCACACAAAACACTTGGATGAGCGACAGTCGTTCTACTTCTAGATCTAGTACTCTAGGATAACGACGGCGGCCGACCGACCAATTGTACCAACAAATCTCTTATCCCTCATAATGCGTTCAGACTAAAGCAACGACAACGGCCCTATGTCAGTCTTGTCAGCGCAGTTATATGTAGTTGTGTGAGAGTTAGAGAAAGACAGTCGCTCGTCCGAGTGTTTGATGTGAACACGCAGTTACCAGACCGCGGACAAGGCTTGTTTTGAAAGTAACAACGGAACTACGAATATTATCGATTATTTGTATGTCCCAAATTGTAACAATTACCAGGCTATCATCAGAGAATTCTGAGTGCGGGCAAAGATCACACACAACTTGAGGCGAGTCAACTACTAAATGCGGCATCGATATTTCGGGAAATAGTGCTCGAGTTCCTGCTTACAAAAAGTTCAATGGGTGCTTCCTGCGATAAAGGAGAAGGCAGAGTAAGTTTTTAGAAATATATGGCAGAACAGCAGACTGGGACAAAAAATCGGGATGGACAAAAAATCGGGATACACACGATCGAAATCGGGAAAATCGGGATGCTTGAGATTTGGGGCAAAAAATCGGGATATCCCGACTAAATCGGGATGAGTGGCAGGTCTGCGTACGCAGACAAAACACCTAGGTCAACAATTTTTATTCGCTAAATTGAAAGCCTGACCAGTTACCCTACTTTAAAAAAAACAACTCAAATTGAAACTGTGAATAGTTTTTGAACATATTAGAATTCAAATTTCAATGGCTACGCCGACAAAAATCCTCTTTTCTCGAAACTGCTGTGAATAAAAAAGGCGTTTTTGTCAGCTTACGGCAGAGTGGTGTGTAAGTGACGCCATGTGTAAGTGACGCCGTGTGTAAGTGACGCCGTGTGTAAGTGACGTCGTGTGTAAGTGACGCCGTGTGTAAGTGACGCCGTGTGTAAGTGACGTCGTGTGTAAGTGACGTCGTGTGTAAGTGACGCTGTGTGTAAGTGACGTCGTGTGTAAGTGACGCCGTGTGTAAGTGACGTCGTGTGTAAGTGACGTCATGTGTAGTGTGTAAGTGACGGCGTGTTTAGTGTGTAAGTGACACTGTGTGTACTGTGTAAGTGAGGGCGAGTGTAGTGTGTAAGTGAGGGTGTGTGTAGTGTGTAAGTGACGGCGTGTGCAAGTGAGGGCGTGTGTAGTGTGTAAGTGACGGCGTGTGTAAGTGAGGGCGTGTGTAGTGTGTAAGTGACGGCGTGTGTAAGTGAAGGCGTGGGTAGTGTGTAAGTGACGCTGTGTGTAGTGTGTAAGTGACGCTGTGTGTAGTGTGTAAGTGACACTGTGTGTAGTGTGTAAGTGACACTGTGTGTAGTGTGTAAGTGACACTGTGTGTAGTGTGTAAGTGACGGCATGTGTAAGTGACGGCGTGGGTAGTGTGTAAGTGACACTGTGTGTAGTGTGTAATTGATGTTGTGTGTAGTGTGTAAGTGACACTGTGTGTAGTGTGTAAGTGACACTGTGTGTAGTGTGTAAGTGATGCTGTGTGTAGTGTGTAAGTGACACTGTGTGTAGTATGTAAGTGACGGCGTGGGTAGTGTGTAAGTGACGGCATGTGTAAGTGAGGGCGTGTGTAGTGTGTAGTGACGCAGTGTGTAAGAGACACTGTGAACACACTGACCTAAGGAAGTCATGAACACATTAGCTCTGGATGGACATACCTTTAGAGAGTAGAGGGCTACTCCATGGATGGACATACCTTTAGAGAGTAGAGGGCTACTCCATGGATGGACATACCTTTAGAGAGTAGAGGGCTACTCCATGGATGGAGATACCTTTAGAGAGTAGAGGGCTACTCCATGGATGGACATATCTTTAGAGAGTAGAGGGCTACTCCATGGATGGAGATACCTTTAGAGAGTAGAGGGCTACTCCATGGATGGATATACCTTTAGAGAGTAGAGGGCTACTCCATGGATGGACATACCTTTA